TGAGAATAGTAGGACTAGGGGACACAAATATAACTTTTGGCAAGGTAGGAGTCATCTTCAGCTAAGACAGTTTTCATTTTCCAACAGGATGGTTGGAATGGGTTGCCTTCGGATGTTGTACAGACAGTAAATTTAAGTGAGTTTAAGAAAAAAGTTTGATAAGTATATGAATGACAAGGGCTGGCTTTAAGTTTTTTATTTGTTAAATTTATTTATTTAATAGTTTTAGTTTAGTTTAGAGGATGGTACAGTAGAGATGAACCTATAGGTCTCACATTGTCCCAAAACGTTATGTTATTACGTTTCGTTACATTAAAAATTCACTTTGTTAATTATGATATTCATTACTTAGAATCTTGTCAACAAAAACTGTTGTGTATGTAATTTTGTTACTCATCCTTATGAGTTCTGTTTCTGATGAGGCTAGAATTTTGAAAACAATCTAAATGTTGTGAAAGAAAGCAGCTCTATAAACAACTGTGTTATTGGGATTTATGTTACAGAAATAGAGAGGAATACTTAAAGGCATTTTAAGGACTAGTTTAATAAAAACCTTATGCTTTATTGCTATCATAGGCACCATGAATAGTCCACATGTTATATAACTTCTAAATTAATCTAGTTTTATTTAATAGAATAATTTATGTAGGCTTCATACAAAGAAATGAAAATTTTAAAATTTTCTTCCACTTCTTACTTTCAAACATTAAATGGACCCTTTTAACAAGTTGATTTTAAATTTTCAGCATTTTGTATAGAAATATTTAAGTAGTTAATAATTAAATTTATTTGATATTTTTAGCTGCTCCTATGATTGATGCCAGTTTTGCTATGCGTGATATTGTTGTGCCAGCTGGACAAGAGTTTAACATCAGAGTTCCATATTCAGGCAACCCAACACCACATGCATCATGGACAATTGTAGGTGTTTATAAGAGTAGAGTAAGGTATTAATGTGAAAAGTAGTTCCTTTTCTGTCATATGATGCACATATGTTGTTTAAAGACTCGACTTCAATTTGTTTTGAGAAGATAACCTTCTTAAAAGGAATACTTGAATTCATATTAGCATTTGCTGTGTTTGACTTGTATTATTTGCTTTAACATTACACGAGATACTAACTTCATTTTAAAAAAATGTATCGTATACTAAGTACTTACTTCTAGCCTGTAACATTCCCTATTTTTATTATATTAGTAACAGTATTCCAACTTAGAGACAGAAACATTTAATCCTCAGAGATTTTTTTTATATATAAATCACATAAAGTTTAATCATAAAATAAAACTGAAATTATGATTATTTCTGTTCTGCAATACTGCTTATGTTCAGTAAAGATATTTATGCTATATAGCTTATAATTCTACGATTATTAAGTATAATCCAACTGCACAGTGACTAAATATTGAATTTAACCTGAATAATTTAGTTTAAATGTAAGTCTTGTTTGTGAAATATCACCAAGTGCTCTGAATTTGTATTAAGAATGTTCTAGTTGCTTAGGTAATATTACCGTAGCTAATCAAACAAATTTTGTTAGAAATATTTATACCATATCTTGCCCTGTTGGCTGTACAGTATCTTAGACTACACTGTAACTAGAAAAATAATTACTTTTTTTATATTTTATAAACTTGTGCCATTAAGCTTTGCAAATGTGCAAAGTGAGAGGAGAATCGGTCTTTTAAGGTTTGAGTGACATGAAGTTGATAGAAACCTTTTTTGTGTAATCATGATAAGCACCGAGGACTGACTACTCATTATGTATAGTACTTGTAGATTGATTCTTAGATATACAGTAACAGCTTTAATGATTAAAAATGTTTTTTTACATTGTAGATATATTATTTTCAAACATGTTGTATCTCTCCAGAATGGCAAAGACTTGCTTCCCGATAATCGGGTCTACTCTGAAGTCAATGTAGCTTTCACTGTCCTCACTAACAAATGTGCTAAGAGAGAGGATTCTGGGAAGTATACTCTTAAACTGGCTAATGGTGTAGGCTCAGACTCTGCTTCTTGTAAGGTGTTAGTTGTGGGTAAGTTATCATTCTTGTTTCATTCAGTAATACTATAATACTGTTTATGTTGAGGAACAAATAATGGTGTAGGTTCAGACTCTGCTTCTTGTAAGGTGTTAGTTGTGGGTAAGTTATCATTCACTTGTTCCATTCAGTAATACTATAGTATTGTTTATGTTGAGGAACAAATAATGGTGTAGGCTCAGACTCTGATTCTTGTAAGGTGTTAGTTGTGGGTAAGTTATCACTCACTTGTTCCATTCAGTAATACTATAGTATTGTTTATGTTGAGGAACAAATAATGGTGTATGCTCAGACTCTGCTTCTTGTAAGGTGTTAGTTGTGGGTAAGTTATCATTCACTTGTTCCATTCAGTAATACTATAGTACTGTTTATGTTGAGGAACAAATAATGTATTTGTTAGTGAATACCATGATATATCCTATTTGCATACAGTTAAAAAAAATTCTTAATGTTTTCACCTTCTTTAGTCATTTGCTATCAGTAATGTTGACTTTGTGAAACAAAAAATGTTTCATCTATATTGAAATCTTTAATTTTATTTATTAGTTTTTTGTAGCACAAACTGCTATATAGAAAATAAAAATCACAAATGCTTCTATGAAAACATTGCAGACAAACCAGGACCACCTCAAGGACCTTTGCAAGTTACTGATATAACACCAGAGACTTGTTCATTGTCATGGAGACCACCATTGGATGATGGTGGAAGTCCTATATTGAACTATGTTGTGGAAAAACAAGATCCCACTACTAAGGTCAGTATATTGATGTAAGGTTATATTACATTGTGATCTTACAGAAACAGTGTTCGTGGTATGATGGAGATTACACCATTTTCTACATACAAATGTACTAGAAATCTCACATTTGACACTAAAAAGCATGCTGGTTTTTTTCTTTTCATAGTCTGTAACTCTTTGTGGGCTTTCTAAATATCTTATAGCAAAAGACTGACTATAATGGATAGTCATTTATAACCCAATTTGCATTTTGTTAAATAGATTTAGAACAACATATAATTTATAAATATATATCAAAATATATTCCAATTTAGATATGATATGATGGAAAAATACCTGACCACAACGTTGTAATATTACACTGGTGATCCATGTGTCTCACTTTTTTTATTTTAAGTACTTAGTGGTAAATATAAGTTGAATAAATAACGTATATAGCTTTTTTTCCCCTTTTTTCATGCATAAATTATTTAACAAGACTGACTGAGTATATAATGATAATATGAAGTTCAAACAAGATGAATTTAAAAATAGTAATTTTTACAGGTTCATTAACCTGGGAAAGAATGTTAGAAACAAGTAAAAGTATAAACATTACAGCATTAGTTATAAATTTCTGTAATCAATTTTGAATTGTTCGATCTTTAAGTTTAAGTTCATTCTACAGATTTGGACCAAGTTAAGTGGGTTTGTTCGAGGGTGTCATTATGATGTCATGGGACTAGAGCCTAACAAGAAGTACAACTTCCGTGTCAGTGCTGAAAATGAATATGGTACAGGACAACCTCTGGAGACAGAAAAAGCAATCACAGCAAAATTCCCATTTGGTAGGTCAAAGTAGTCTGAACTGAGGAAAGTTAGCTTACAGGGGGAGGACCTAATAATATGAAATACTTAAGTCACATTAAATATCTTTATATAAAATGATGTCACATTTCAAATAGGGAATGTAACAAACAATACAACTAAGTCCTTAAGTTAAGAAATATTATAATTCAATATCAGTGTATAAATATCCTTCACGCAGAAAAACTAATGATTAGTTTAATAAAAATAATCCTCATCACCTTTATAACCAGCCATAGTAGGCCAATATCAGAAACAAATATCTATCCAAACACTTTTTAAATATGAAACCATTTATATTCACTTCAGAATATATATGTTTAAATTACTCATCTCTCTGTATCACTGGCAGAAGTCACTGAAGACTCCTTATTATTGTTTTATCTGCTTTTTTCTGATAGTAAAATGACTTACGATAACAATATTTCAGACTTTTCTTCATTTATTAGTGCACATTTCCAATTTTTATATACATTTGGATTTACAGAACAAGTAGTTATTTAGCTAAATGAGTTAATTATTACCTTATACTAGGAAGGGTATGCAATTAGTACCTAACAATGATATTAGGGATATAATATGAAAAGAAATAAGAAGGGAAACATTACCTAACATTGTCATTTATACAAGTTTTGCTTCCTAAATGGGTACCCTCAGCTTTTTTCTTGTAAAGTACAAATAACCTTCAGTAATTCATTGCATTCAGATTATCCCAGTAAGGATTAAGAATAGTTACTAAGCTATATTATTATTTAGTGTATATTTAAAGTAAAAGCTTAAAAAAATAGATGGAAATAGTCCTAGACATATAGCAAGGGTTGATATATTCATTAAAATGTTTTTTTTTTAATTACAGATGTTCCAAATCCTCCTGGAGCTCCCACTATTGTGGATTGGGATGCACACAGTGTGAGTTTGGTATGGGAACGACCATCAAGTGATGGAGGCTCAAAAATCCAAGGTTATATTGTGGAATACAGAGATCCTTTGGATGGTAACTGGATCAAAGCAAACAATTTTCTGGTCAAAGATACAACTTTCACTGGTAATAAGAAAACACATTTCTTAAACCTATATTTAATAGATAAGGTTATATTGTAGCCTGACTTATCCAAACTCAAATCAAATTTCACTCTTATTATTAGCAGACTTAGGTGAGTGTACATTATATTACAAGCCAGACATGTTTAGTATTAGCATATTGCATATTAAGGTTTTGATAATGCCAGAACTGTAGGAATTGCCTAACACAAAGTCTGATGGATATTCTATTACAGAGCATGGTTCCATTGCTGTAGGAACTCCATTATACTAATGTCATCACAGAGAAGTAGTCAACATATTAAAATGTAAAAACTACAATTTTTAATGACACAAACAACCAATGTACAGATACGACACAATGAAATAAAACAAAGTTCAAGAGGATGTTGTGTCTATGTTGAACTGGCAAGAGAGAGATGTGTTCATTGGTCCTCTAACCAGTCCTGTGTGAGCCACACCTGGTAAAAATAGTATTTAAATAATAAAAAATAACCCATTCATCTTAACTTAATTCAAAGTTAAAGCAGAATACCTCAACAATGATTTTACAGCTTCTTAAAGTTGAAAAACCTCTAAAACCATTTATCTAAAACTTAATTTAAATCTTACAACAACCGCATGTTAGTCAGAGCCTATCCTTTAATACCAAAAATATAATAACATCGGCTTACCTGAAACTATGTGATAGCTCTGGAGAAGAATCTACTTAATGACCAATTATTGGATCTTTGTCCTCACGTGCAGCTAGAGTAAGGAAAAGTTTAGTTGTTTACTTAAGCGACTTTCTTGCCCAAATAAAACTAAAACTAAACAGAAATTTCGAACATTACACATATTAACTAAGGTCAAACACATTGTAACATCCTGTACCACAAGGTTCATTATTTCAACAGTGACTGCATATATATATTTAAATATATTATGTTACTTTATCTAAATAAAGGAAGCTGGCCAGTAGGAAAGATCATTTAAGTTACAGATGTATTAGTTATTAATTATGTGGCTATAGAAAAGTAACCGTGTTCTATATTAATATGAGAAAAACTGTGTGATCAGGTAAACTGTGTGATCAGGTACTTTGTGTTCTCAAGAAAGGAAACAGAAAAATTTAGCACTTTGACATCAATCTGCTAGTGAGCAAGAAATTAGAAGACAGATTTCCCAGTGATAACTATGAACTGGATTACTTAATTTTATTTTTAGTGTATATGCATATATTAAAACTTTCCAAAACATTAAAAAAAATCTCTGTGAGTTAAATTTTTCCTTTTAACTCTAAATAAAAGAAAATTTTAATTCTTGGAAAAAAATATTTGAGTAAATTTCACTTTTTCCTTGAAATTTTTCCAGTGCCAGATCTTCTAGAAAACCACGAGTACGAGTTCCGTGTGAAAGCTAAAAATGCTGCTGGACTCAGCAAACCTAGTCAACCTACAGCTACCTTAAAACTCAGGCCCAAATTTAGTAAGTCATATAAATAACGTTTTTCTTAACCTGTGTGAATGGGATGTGTCCTAATAGTTAGAGTGCCAGGACTGAAAGTTTGAGGGTTCATGACCCATTACAGTAGAAACGAGCTTCAAACTTTGGAGCTGTGGGTGCATTAGAAGAGTAAAAGTCAAACCTCATTATTTGATCTGGTAAGAGTAGTTCAAGAGTTGGTATTAGATACTGTTGACTAGATACATTCCATCTCAAGAGTTGGTATTAGATACTGTTGACTAGATACATTCCCTCTCAAGAGTTGGTATTAGATACTGTTGACTAGATACATTCCCTCTCAAGAGTTGGTATTAGATACTGTTGACTAGATACATTCCCTCTAGCCTTTCACTTCAGAATCAGAAATTAATCATAATCTGCTTATGTACCTTTGCAAAAAATTCTCAAAAACAAATCCTTAACCTTGGAAGACATTAATATAATTGATGAAAGTTGTAGACATTTTTTATGGTTTTACATCATTGAATTTTCATATTAACTGCATTTTTCTGGAGCTTAAAATCTCGACATTATTTCTAAAAACTTTTAGTTGATCTTCATTTTATGAGGACAATTAAGAAAATGTTAAGTACTGTCAAGCTTTTTTTTTTCAGTTAGTTACATTACTACAAACATTCAACTGTGAATTTTCTTTATACACACCTGTGTTTTAGTTTCTGTACAGTGCATCTCAAACAAATAATGAATGCCCCCAGCCCTGTGAAACTCCCACCTAAAATTCACCAAGTTATTAAGTTGTTAAATTATCAATTTAAGATTGAATTAAAATATTGGCATGCATTTATGATTAGGTAAATAACTAAAAAACTGACATGCTCCTTTTCAGGGTAGGGATCCAAAAAATTGGATCCATAGAAATTTTGTTATGGGGGAAACGGGAATACCCCGAGAAAACTACTTTCAGTAAGGAAGCGCCGAATGGTGTAACCGCTTAGTGCTGAAATAAATAACATGGTTTAGTAAACATCAGAATGAGTGTTTGTTTCATACTATTTGGTTGTGCTACATAAAATAATTTAAATTAAATATTAAATTATATGATTAATCATATTGATGTGGGATACATAGCGTTGCCATGAGGTGGGGGTGTCAGATAGTTGTGAAAATTCACAGGTAAGTGAATTAATTACCTTTGGGGACATGTTTATAAAATTTAGAGGCTAATTTGAATATATGTTCTTTGATTGGTGGTAAGTTTTTAAACTTACTAAGGTATATGGGGGGGGGGAGTGTAGTTGGTTAATCTGTAAGCAGTTTTAATTTCTTGATTTTGGAGGTTTTGAATTATATTCATTTGGCGGTTAGACATATTACAGAGAATGGCATTACCATATTCAAAGAGAGGTCTTATATGTGCTTTATAAGTCGTGGTTATTATTAGAATAGCCCCCCCAGTGGCTCAGCGGTATGTCTGCGGACTTACAACGCTAGAATCCAGGTTTCGATACCCGTGGTGGGCA